AATCATGAATCTCAGGAGCTCAGTGTGTCACTTCAGTGCTTAAAAATTGGTTTTGGCATTCTGGCATTTCGTATTAGCTGAGTCAGAAAAGCTACTGAACTCTCCTCCACTGCCTTCTCAAAAACTGAAGGTTCATTTGGAGGTAAGGTGATTAACGGGGTCCAAATGTGCTCTCAAAACACGCCACTTGTCTAGTGACCTCTTATTTCCACAGATTTTTATAAGGTGGATATATATGAAAAACAGTGCTCTGCAAAAGAAAAAAATATTGTATTTCCCCCCATTTACCTATCTTCCAGTGAGGAATAGGAGAAATGGATAGAGTGATATTGGAGTTGCCAAGGCGCCCATTGGAGGGAAAGGTCTTACTTCACATATCCTCTATGGCTGAGTCCCTGGAGATACAGGCACGTGGGATCTGCTCAACTGTTCTTGCAAAAAAATTTGATCATGTTCCTCATGAATTTTTACTTTCATGGAACGAGGTAGTTGGACCTGTCAGAGGTTAATAATTGGTTAAAATAAATTGTATTTGTTAATGATGCAAAATTATTGAGCATAGCTGTGTTGAAATCTGCCTGTAGAAAGATGTCACAACGCTGCATGTTTCAAAAAAGGGCAGATGACATTTGGTATGAGTGAGCCTAGTTATGCCTATAACCTACCTGTGTGTGTGCAGAAGGAACAGTTATTGAAATCAGCTATTGGCACTGAGGAAGCAGAGCTGGGTGTCACTGGTTTGATGTTTTTAAAGAACTGTGTACAATGTCTTAGGGCAGTCAAAACGGCATCTAGAGTTTTAGGAAGCATTTAGAAAGGAATTATGGGGAAAAAGAGGAAAATATGAGAAAGTCATATTGCTTTCAATGTGTCGTGTTGAAAGCAACCAGCTGTGTGCACTTGGACAGGGTGTGATTAAATGGTAAAAGTCATTGTCACCAGATGCTGAGCAGGCTGAAAGTAGGATGGGTTTGAAGAAGATGCACTGTAAGGACTGTAGATGCACAGCTGCAATAGTAGGGAGCTTGCACTTGAACTCTTGCTGAGCATTAGATCAGACTAAAGGAAAACAGCTTGTTCCTTTTCTAATTTCTGAATTGTGCTTAGATTCTCAGCCTGCCTTCTAGATTATTCCATGGATAGTGTCTTCCTCTCTAGAAGTGTGCAGGAATTGTGAAGTCATCTGCACTGACTGGCACTAGTAGGTATTATTAAAAGTAATTTACTGCAGGTAATATTAAAAAAAAAAATCACAATGGTGTTCAACAACAGACATCTCAGGCTTTTTTTTATACGTGGCAAAAGTCTTGTTTCACTTTTGCACGCAACACCAAAATGCCTATTTGCTGACCCAGAAGTTTTCATGGCAGTCTGTATAATTTCTGAAGGACCCGTTTCCTGTGGAGTCACTCATAATATCCTGGTATAAACAAGAATAAATGCAAAGTTTGGAATAAGTCTGCAATATCAAGCCAGGGCTGGGTGTAATTTTCCTGGGATTTTCCCATCTTATGTGATAACAACATAAATGCAAATAATTTCCAGAATGGAAGCAATCCATAACCAACAGACAGTAAAGCGTGGATAATGTATCTGTCACCTGACACATAACCAGGATGTTTGCATTAGTTAGCATTCGGCACAGACACAGAAGTGGAGGCCAGCAAACCGGTGTTTGTATTCTCTATTCTTCTAAGCAAAAGTATTTTTCAGGGACTTTCCAGTATTTCTTTCGATGACTTCCTCTATGATTTCCAGCATTTATACATTAGAGAGAAATATACTTTTGGTATTGTAAGAATCGTTAACATTGAAACCCAAGGGAACAAATTACAGTTTGTGATTGAAAAGACTCTCGATAGAAGAGCAGACCTACAGCAACCAGGCACAGGAGCGGAGTTTGCGGATGGGGAGATGACACGAGGTTGTTGCTTGGTTATCTGGTTATTGTTACCGTCCTCTTGGCCCCAGACTGAAATTGTTGGTGAAAGGAGAAAGTGAAAGTGGTTTGGAAGGAAGATAAAGTAAGGGACCAAGAAAATAGTTGAGGATGGAAAGGACATGTAAACACCTTTGCTACATTTCATTGCAGGGAGGGCAGTAGAGGAATGAATGGAGGAGGGTGATGAATACACGGGGTGGCTCTAACGTGGAATGGCCCTCTGACAGGGTTGCAGAAATACAGTTTAAATCCCAAATGAAGTGGCCAAGGGGAGCAGAAGCTTAGATGAGACTGGGAAAAGGAGAAGACAGACAAGAATATGTAGCTAGCTGCAGTGAAATCTCAGGCTTCTTTCTTTCATTGTGGTGCAGATGTCCTGACTCTTTACTCACCGCCTGTTCAGCTTCCTTGCATGTTACACGGGCGAGCATGTGCACACACAAACACACACACACAGCTGCTTACTGAATAGTCTGCGTGGGTGCAGTTTTCTCCTGTGGCTTCTGCATGGCCTGATAACTGGAGGGCCCCTGGGAACATTGTTTAGGGTTCAAGTGGCTGAACGCCTCAGTCTGATGCCAGAATAATGTGGGTTGAGGAGAGGACTGACATCAATCTTACTGCGCAGGGTCCTCAAGAGGAAGCAAGCCAAAGATAGCTCTCTTACTTTATGATCACAAAGGCAGCTGGCAAAAATCCTTCTGCAGTTTAAAAAATATCTGGATCATAGGTTAAAGTGAAATAAAAGTGTGCGTGCCTGAAATGAACAGGTAAACACCAGTTTAAGTTTGCTGGAACTGTCATGCGGCAGGCTCCTCTCTGTATCTCCTGTGCCTGTTGCTACACGAGCAGCTTAATCTGACTAAGACATGCTGCTATTTTGTCACATAGCTCCTTACTTTCAGCCAAAACTGAAAGCTCTTTCAAAGCTCTTTCAGCCAAAGACTGTGTACTACCTGGTGGGATAAATTATTTCTGCTGTAGAAAAATATATGGAAACGTATATAGAAACATACAGATTTCTCATTGCTTCAGAAAGAGAGCACATATGTTGTCTGATGGATAGGGATTCACTTCTGTTCCAGCTGCTTTTATTCCTATTAGAAAGCAGGAATCTGGCTTTTTTTTTTTTTTTTTTTGCCATATTCTGTGTAAGTACCATTTATTTGGGGCTATATTTAGTCAGTCTCCATTGTGTATTCTGTTTCCTCTATAAATTTTTCAGTTTTCATGGAAATGGTGGTATTTGAAACAGGAAGGGGTACACGTGGATGCCTACTGGATCTCCTTCATATATGGGTTCAAGTGTCTGTTCCTGATCAAACAGGACCAGGCCCTGAATGTATATCTTGTAGATTTCAGGTTTCCAAAACACTCAAATGCTCTCTTGCATTTCTCTTTTCTCCTATCCAGGGAAAATCCCTGGAAATTTTAACCCCTTTCCGCTCTCAAGAGAAGAAGCAGGCCTGCTTCCTTGCATTGTTCATCCCTTGATTGTGCATTGAGCAGACCGGTGGGCAACAGGTCAGGGCAGAGCAGCTCTTGCTCCACACAGATGGTAGCTGGGACCTAACCCCGTTCTGTGGTGGTGATGTGAGGAGGGCTCTTTCTTCCCTTTTGCTCTGGGAGTGGTACTGAAGCAGACAGGAAAATAGAAGCCACGTTTTCAGATGAACTAAACCTGATCTGATTGGTCACACATGCTGGATTCTCCAGAACACAGAACGTACAAAATGCCCAGTGGGTCCATGCTGCGGTCCATGCAGCCCAGCACCAGTGGGACAGGAGATGGGGTGGTGACAGTGTGAAGCATCACAGTTTACCTGCCAGAATCCTTCCTCAGTGTTCATACGCGGTATCAGTGCTTCTCTCCCAAAGGGTCCGAGCATCAGCTCCTGTGCACGGTGGGAAGGAATAGCTGCACCTTTTAAAAGAGGCAGGCATCGAATGCTCCGAGTTATGATCAGAATAGGAGGCAGTTGCCACACAAGGGCAAATGCTTGATATTAGGTTACCCAAAGTAAATGTCACAAATTCCCATTCTGATAGTCAAATAGTGGCCATTTGATGCAGTAGATTTACAGCTCTGGGGCTGATCAGGACACTGTCAGTGTTTAGGCATCTGAGGGTAAAATTCTCTTGTCTGTAAGGTGCTTAAGTAAGGAGCCTTGCCCTATGGCCCACCAAGGACTGGGAATAGCCTGAAGAGGAGAGTGAGCTTTTTATCCTTCCCAAAGAGTTTATTATTCCATTCAGGAATGTTGGTTTACCATAACAAGTTGAGTTATGGTACCCTGTACTAAAAATTTGTATTTCAGCTCCAGAAATCAGTCTGAGGTGGCAAAAATGAAACAGACTGTTTCCAAATAAAGCAAATGAAAATGTAAAATAACAAGCAGATAACAGAAAGGTTTTTGTAGAAAACATTTAATAATGCATTGTTAGGAATAATTACACTCTCACAAGCAAATTCTTTGTATGTAAGCTGCAATTTTTTTCCATTAGCTGATTGAGCTGCTAATTAGACATACAACCAAGTCCCTGTCCAGAGCAATGGGATTGTGAGTAGTTCTTAAGAAATAAATAGTAAGAATGGAAAATCTAGCAAGAATGAAATAAATTAACATCATTTTCTCCATTGTAGAGAAACGATTCAATAAATACATTTATAAATAGCATGGAAATCACAAGAAATAAATACCAAATCCACGGTCTTACAGATTCTGTAGGCTAGATTTCTGAAGTCAGAAATCACAGTTTGCAGACTAGCCACAGGATGACTGTGGTTCAGGAAACTGTTGTTGACACAACATACTAGTGCACTCCAGGGGAGCAAGAGGAATAATCAGTTTGCTGGTGTAATAGCAAAATAGTAAGCCTTAGCGTAAATAAGCTGTGCTGTAAGTGCATTGCACTTAACTAGTTGTGTTTGGCTGAAGTGGCTTCTGAGGGTTCTTCATTTCCTTCAGCAAGCCACTTCTCTTATTCAGCATCTTCAGTGTCAGTGAACAGACAACGTGTCCCACACACAACACTAACCATTTTGAAAAACTTTCTCAAATAGATGCAGTCAAATAAATAAATAAATAGCTTGATAAATAAATTCATACACAATGAACAGAATACTGAGGCAGGTGGTGGAAGGTGGTACACGGCCTGAATGATGCTTTTCCCACATTTCCCTCAACGGAGGAGTGGCAGCAGTTCCCAGATTTTTTCTGTCTTGGTGTTTCTTAGAGCGGTGAGTCAGAGTTCAGTTGAGCCCTGTTAAGAGATGAGGGAAGAGGATAATTTCAAAGGAGGTTCAAGAATGGTTATCATTGCTTAACATTGCACAAATAGTTAAGGATCAGTGATCTGTTTCCAACTCTATGTGCTATCCTGAGGCATGTTTCAAAAGCAGTTACTGAAATCCCACTGTGTTAATGTCTGGTGCCCAGGTAGGAAACATCTGGAGCACAAGTTTCTGCATTTAGTCCCATCAAGAAACTCATTAACCCAGAAATATGAATTGTTAACATATGATAGAGCAAGAAAAGGGAAGATCAATTTTTTTAAACCCTTGTTTTTCAGAGGGAGCCAAACACTTTTGTGTTCCTTCCCTCCAGATGGAGTTGCCGGTACTCAGACGTTTAGTAGTGACGTGTCGGCTTGAACAAGGACCCTGCAGTAGGGTCAGAAACATTAAGACTAATTCTATAATTAAGCAGTAAGTTTCCCTGTTCTTTAAATCTCATTAAGAGAAAATGGAAAGTATCACTAAGAAATATTATAAATTGGCTTTTTTGGGGGAGGTTTGCCACTCAATTGTCCAAATTGAGAGGGAGTGGGACTTACTTGGCCAAAATTGCCTTTATGATCAGCTGTACCCAGGGAGCAGTGGGCTCCAAGCACACCTCTCTGCCGTCCTTCAGAGTAGCTCTGCAAAACGGGAAAAAAGAAAAGTCAGGAAACTACTACATGGATTTGTTTATTCACAGAAAGTAATATTGCATTTATTTATTAGTTAGTATAAATTCATCCCAATCTCTTCTAGGTTAGACTTGGCCATTTTGTTATGTGTGTTCCCCAGCTGAGGAGAGTAAAACCGTCCAGAAGTTGTGTGGGTCTGTGTGCCTGCTCTCAAAGCAGTCACACGTTCCCAGAAATCTTTCTCAATATACATGGCTACTTGTTCTGGACTTGTTTACATTAGTAAAGATTTCTTACACAAAGACTGAAACTTCCAGGGGTAAAAAGGAGTTTTGGCAGTAAAAGTCCTTCCTCCATGCTATTCAAGACCAGACTAGTTTCATTGTTCCCCTGAATCTGCTTGTGGGAACTTAGTTTTTCTCTCTTGAGACTGACGCAGACTTTTAATGGCAGTTTCACCTGCCTAATAAATGCAGGATTTAAGCTACATTACTGCCTCATGTCTTCAGAACTGACCAGTCCTTGAAATTCATGTTCTACCACCAGAAATATTGAATATGTCCCGTAACAGATAAATAATGATCAGTTCAGGAATATATAAGGTCATACAGATGATGAAAAACATGCTGTATTGCTTAAACCCATCTCTCTCAAAAGAATAACCACATCAGACTACATCACATCAACCCGCTGTCGTTCTTGTTGTGAAGCATGAACGCCCTCGTGAGCAGCAGCAGGGTGCAGAGTGTAGGGGAAGGAGAGGGAGGCTCTCGCAGAGCTACTTACATGACTTCAACGTTCTTGCAGTGGGGGCCGCTCTGTGTCAGCTTCACATCCTGGATGGATTTAGGAGGGATGAACTTCGAATGAGTGGCTATGCACTGGCACCGGAGCTCGGTTCCCATCCTTGCCACAGCCCTGCCTGTGAGCAGAAAAGGAAGATTGAGGTTTGAGAGGCTGTCTTGTCATCACTGTATCAGAGATAAAGTATGGCTGCTCTATTTTAACAACATTCATTATTGAAGTACTGCATAAATGCTCCCGGTGTAAAGATCAGCTGCTTATTAGTTTCAGAGGAGCTGATGCCCAAGTACATTTAGAACTAAATTACACATCTTTTAAAATAACCTATTTTGTGGTTACTTGTACTGACCACACTGTACATTCAGTTGCATCATTTTAATATCTGGATGAACAAACTGGCAGCTATACAGAAGACAGCACCCTAGATTTTTTCATTAGTTGGAGGCTCGTCCATGCTTATGTGTTTGTATTGTTTGTTCTCTGTTCCCAGCTGTGTGTGACTTGCATGAGGCAGTATGATCATTCAGTAACAAATATGAGATCACAAACTGTCCTGTGTGCGGGAAGGCAGAGAAACATTCAGACACTTAAGAAGATCCCATCTCTAGCCATATGCACTTCAAGGGAAACATTGAAACAAAGCAAAGTGAAGTTCCATCCTTAAATTTTTTCCCACAAGATGTCAGTAACTCTTCAGTACAAGGTCTAAGTGGGTAGATTCCTGACTGAAGAGAAGTTGCTGAAAATCTCTCAAAAGACACTAATTTGCTGAAACAAAAACAAAGCTACCTCTCTGCAAGGACACGCGTCTTGGCAGATGCCTGCGCAATACGACAGCTGTGGGGATCTTAGGAGGGATTCACTTACCTTGAGACATAGCCGCTGAAATCAGGACAAGAGCCAGCACAGCCAGGAGTTTGCCGTTCATGATTAGACGGGAGTTTTTCGCTGTGTTGTTTAGCTCGGGTTCTGTGGAGCAGGGACCTCTCTTGTCCCGGAGGATTGCTGATGCTTGCTGTGAGGATCCGTTGTGCTTATATACCGTTCCGTGCCCCGCATGTGTGCTCTGCTAGCATGTAGATTGCGTGAGAGGAATTTCCCAGATGCAGTAAAAGTGAGTCACATGACTGTTGTGAAACTCCTTCCTCGGTGACGAGGAGTTATTCTGCTGAGAACAATATAATATATTAATTTATTAAAATATGTAAATAATAGCCATGCATTCCGATTTCTTCTGTAAATTTTTTACTTTTTCTAATGCATACCCTGATTTGGCAGTATAACTTTATGATGGTTTTAGTTAGGTTTATGTTCTAACTTTTTATTGTTTTCTTCAGGGTAGTAACTGTTCTTTGTAGGGATGCCAGATATTTAATTTCTTATCTCTGTTTATGCTGATAGCTTCCACTTACCTGATTTTAAGCAACTGGAGTGGAAATTGGGCAGTGCTGAAATCCCTGAAATATATTTTAATGTCTTTTCCATTGTCTTTTTCAGTGACCCTAGGTTTTAACAAAGGGAAATGACATTAAATATTATGGTATTGCTGTAGACATTTCTGTTAAAGAGCCTTGTTGCATGAATGCTGAGGGTTTATTTTCTGTGGCCAGTAGAGATACTACCTTGCAAGGGAGATAATTTCGAGGGAAGACTTGGGCTCAAATGCTGATCTGTTGCTGAAACAAAGCTTTCATTTGTTAACCCATCTGGAGTGTGCATGATTAGAAGAAGCCATTCTGTTTTGGTGCTGTAAAAAGGTTGGCCTTTTGATTGTGATGACTTTTGCTGCTTGTCATCTCCGACCTCGTAGCTTCACATTTCTGTGATCTGTGGATTTATAGAGGTACTTCTCCCTAACTCTGAGGAGTTCATAAAATCTCAGTTATCCTTAGCATCTAAAACTAAAATATATAAATTCAAATTATAAAATTATAAAATATAATTTATTTATAGTAGTAATTTAATAGCTTGATCATAATTTATAATTTCCACCAAGTTTGTCTCTCCTACTTCTTACGGAGCATTGAGTCAACAAAAGATACCAGTTTTGACTCCTAACGGTGCTTCTCCTTATCTGTGTGTCTTAGAGAGCATTACAGAAAAAGACATTTAGTTCTCTGAAGGCATGAAACAGGAGATGATTTTACTAGGTACTGAAGGTTATGTTTTATTGTTTATATTGTATTATGTTGAATATGTTATGTTAAATTAACAGGATGGTTTCACTGGTGTCGAATTCTAGATGTTGAAGCTTTAACCAGTTTACTTTGAATGAAGTTTTGCTGATTCTTTTCTTTTGGGATCTCTCTCTTTCTCTCTGTGTCTACATATGCATGCACACACAGAGGGTAATTAAAATGTGATTAGGGATCCCCCTCTTCTGAGTTACTATTTGCAGCTTTATTATCTAATTTTGGTGTGTGCTGAAGAGTCATTAATGCCTGGGGCAAAAAAACAAAATTCCCCCTCAAATCCCCAAATGAAACAAATGACCGCTTGTCCTCCTTACACTAGACTCAGCTATTTCCTGAGTGTGGCAGTAACGGATCTGCAGAAATCCCCAGGTCAAAAGGGAAGCCAAGAGCCTGCTCCACCTATATGATTAACCCTGCCCCTGAGCTAAGGGTAAGTATCTGCCTGAGAGAGTAGGATATTTGTAGTGAAGTAAAAAACCTGCTATGTTTTCTGAGGGCTGAAGCATCTCCTGTGCCTCCACTTTTTCTCTGATATGACACAGTTTCATCGGGACTGTGTACAGAGGGTGTAATAGAGATGGTAGCAGCATAAAAAGGTTGAGACCTGAGATCAAGCCCGAGGGCCAGGCACTCCTAACCTGTGTTCCTGGGAGTGCCGTGCTTCGCCCAAGTTCTCCCTACTTCCCTGCAATGCTTTGCCCAGAATCTCGTCCCAGCCCTTGCCTGTAGGAACTCCAGATCCATTGTGTGATTTTGGCAGTGTGTTTTCCCCGCCAGCCATCAGAGATGACTTGTGCAGTTGGAATTGCTGCTCCTTTTGGAGGATAACGTCATGGTCTGAGCTGATACCGCTGCAAGAAGAGACCTTCCATGCTTAACGCTGTTAAAAGCACATTTGTAATGAACAAACAACAGTTACGCAATAGTCTGATTACTGAAAGACTGCTGAAAAGGGAACCAAATGCTTCCCTTCCCTGTGTTTCAAGACAGGGTATAGGATGTGTTCTCCATACTGCAGGATGGAAACTAGTGTTTTGGGGTTTTTTTCATGACTCTTTGCCTTGTCTAATGAACACGAGTCAAAAGGGAATCTTTTGGGATCTTGGCTGGGATTGTTTAGAGTCTCTCAAGTAGGAAAGGACACCCAAATGCAAGGGACACAAATACGGGATGGGGCAGAGCTGTGCTCCAGTCCCTTACTGTTTTGGGTCGCCCCAGTTTCAGGGGAATGCTCCAACCTCTGGACTGAGACAATTACTCTCTAAGAAAATTAAGAGTCTGTCTTTTCTTAGACAAATTCAGACCTCTAGCTCGAGAAGTTGTGCACACAAGAACCCAGAGGCCCAGGAGACAAAACTTTCCCTGGAATGAGGGTTCAGCCTGCAGAAGGTGAACTCTTGTCAACTCCTGTCTCCTGTGTGTCCTCGCTACCAGCCTACTCTTGTTCCCCAGGGAAAAATATCCCATTGTCTTCTGAAGCCACCTCTGCAAAGGGCTTGGCATTCGCCTGCCATTCCACTTGACCCACGGAGAGTGGAAGGGATGAATACAGGGCTTGGGAAATAGTTGCTTCCATTGCTCAAAAACGGGGCACAATGTTGTGCAAACACTTGTGGAAGTTCACAGTGAGGTGGGGCGTAGCGAGCAGGTAAGTAAAAGGCAGAATGTCTCCTAAATGTCTGGCAAAGAATGAAGAAGAGCTTAGGTCAGTTGGTGATTTTTTTTCCCAAGTGTCTAAATACAGATGGTTATGTACCCTTGGTCAGATCTCAGCAAGTGCTGGACTTTCCTAAAATCCTCTGGAATCACAAAAGAGCAGTGCAGCTTTTTAGTCAATTGCCTTTTATTTTATATGTTTGTAAATACAATAGTGTAAGTATATATTTATGTGACTGCTTGTTTATTTATGATATGTGTTTCAGCTCTGCTTGAAAACAGTCAATTCTTTATTGTAGTTTTCGGTTAAGAAATGTTTTGGGTTAAATGAACATTTCATTTGATTCAATTCAATATGAAAAGTCTTTGATGGTATTAATATAAAGTACCTAGTAATACTAGAAAATGATACATTAATATTTGTGATAATATGAACATAAAATATTAGCAAAAATTCACAAATATTCATATTAAAAATAAATTTTCATCTACTTGCTATTAACAGAGCAGATACTAAGTCCAACTAGAGAATTGTTAGGAACCAGCAGCTGAGTTTTGAAAGGCTCAATGAAGGCTGCATTCATTGCTTTAGTTTTATTTCCCTTTCATGAGTTTGGCAGGAAGCGTTTTCTTCCTGCCCAGATGACTGTGGAAATAAGATATGGAAGTGATGGGAGGAAACACATGGCAAATTTTAAGAAGTTCATGCTGGGAATTTTTGATTAAATTAGAAGTGGTCAGTAGACGTCATATGTGTCATGCATTCACCTCTGACTTTTTAAAAGTCTGTTGCTGTTAGCTTACTGCCTGCCTAAACCACAGGCAATGTAGCTTTGCAGGTGTCAGCCCGAGACTTCCTGGCAGTGCAATTGCAGCAGGGTATGCAGAGAGGTGCAGAGTTTCTCTGTAGCGCTTGGGTGAACATCGATAGGTAGCCTGCCTGTGAAAAAAGTGGGAAAATGTAGACTTCTGAATCTGGAATAAAAATATCCCGGTTAGTATTATGAATGAGATATGTTTTGCATAAAAGCTGTTAGATATAAACTTGCTCATCCATTGGATCTCAAGCCAATGGATATGTCAAACATGGCTGTTTACCAAAACTTGTGGCATCTGCGCTGGGACAGAACAATGGGGGGATTTAGTCTGTATGAAAATTCAGATTTGAATGCAGAGTTGCTCTGAGTGGGGGTTCCAGTGAGGGTCCATCTCTCTCAAAAACAAGACTGTCTTGAGAGTTTCTTACATGTCTGTTTGCAGTCTGATGTTCTCTCTAGCCTGCGGCTATCCCCAAAAGCTGAAACTCCCCTCTCCCACCCTGGGGCTCAGGAGATCAAACTCCGCAGGGCAGTCACGGTATTTCTGCCTGCAGGCCTCCGTTGGTCTGACCACATCTCTCTGGGCTGGTGATTGCTGTTAGAACCTGCGCCTTAGCGCTTTCTGTCCTCAGAATGTAGATTTATAGTGCAAGGCTTAAACGAGGTGTAGCAAATCGTTAAGAGAAAACATCTTTAACACCTTTTTTTGACTGTAGAAAGAAATTAACAATAAATGAAATGGGAATTAACACATTAAGCCAGTGTTTAGTCTTACAAACATTCTCCTGGGCCCCTGAGCAGTAATAAATGTAAATTTAACATAATAAATAATTTAAGCTGCAAAATCCTTTTGCAAAGCAAAAAATTTTGTCTATTGTAGTATCAAGTAGAACTAACATGAGAGAAAAAAATTGCAAAAAAAAAATCCCATTATATTAAAATAAATAATCTGGTCTTTTCTTCAGAAAGATGACTTCTAAACTTCTTTTTCTATAGATGTGTATATGTATCTCTCTGCCTGCCTCTTCCTATCTATAATTGGAAACTAGATCACAATAAATATCACTTCAGAAATAATACAGGTAATTTAGTGTCTCTAATTATAGCTGCTCCCTTCTGAAAGCCGTTAGCCTATAGTCATTAGGCTGCCCTGAGGCTGGCAGTGACTGAGAGCTGTTGATGAGACATCGGAAGCAGCTCACAGGAGGTAGGTGTCATTTTTCTGTCAGTAGTAAGGAGTCCATGCTTAGTGGCTTCCAGTGGCACTACAGGTACACCCCATCAAATACTGTTTAGTTAAAGTCAGTTATAAACAC